CAGCAAACAGCACATCAATCATATCCATTTACTTCACCCTCAGTCAAATAGGAGGGTGAGATGATATGTAGATATCATTAAGCGAGGATTTACGAAAGCCAACGCAAAGATTTGCTGGTAGATTGTTTTATAAACCGGAAGGTACGAACAAGTTTCTACCCTTTGTTATTATAAAAACGGAAACTTTCCCCCTTACTGGATCCACGCCTGAAGTCAAAGCATGTGCTATAGATTATCGGTCACAACATTCTATGTGAACCCAGGGTAACCAGTAAAAGGGCAAGGATCGATAATCTATTAGGTACATCTCGGAAAAAGTATTCCCATCAAACACATTAAGGCAACCGGTTGAAACCTTTGACCACTTGCTATGGTCCGCTACGTAGTTAAGATCACCATATCGGGATATTCAGTAGTTTATTTTGAAACAGATCTCCATATTGAATGTGTTTATCCTCACCTACGTTCTCTTAGTGGCTTATTTTAATAATATACTTTTCTGTTTGACAATTTTGTCTTCTATCCTATTACATAATGTATTTATCCGGCAACCTACATTCAGTCCAGTCTCTGTTCTATAATATTCTTTAAATTGAGATTTTGTTTTTCCAAAATTATTATTTAGAAAGCCTTAAGCGAAATTGGCTCTGAATGGGATCAAAATCGTCGCCTGATCACATTAAAACCGGGTGGATCTGGCGCGTACGGTGCGATTCCTCCGAAATTCGCTTATTTAGCTGTAGAGTTCGGTACTACAAATGGTGGTTTCGCACGTATTTTAGATGAAGAACACGAAATATCTTCATATTCTGGACGTGTAAGGATTTTCATTTGAGTAAATCGTATTTTCACAATTTGACTAAAATCGGTTTGAATGACCTAAATTTACTTCGATAAGTAAATAGCTAAAAAGCGCCGGCTAAAACTGCATATGGCCTATAAAAAAAACACGACTATGATAACATAAAATATCATTCAACTGTCGAATCAGCACCATGAAAACAGTCACTAAACACCCTCAGGTCAAAAGTTACAACTCTTTATCATCCATGTCAATCTTTTATTCTAATTTGCTTTAATAAATGAAGCGGGTTTCATCATATGAAAATCTTTACAAATCATGTTAACAATGATCTTGAGAATAGGAATATAGAAAATTGCGTTCTGATTACATAAAAATGCAGTGTGATTACATCATTAAAGTTAAAAATTTTCAGCAAACGTTAGTAGTTATTTGACTTTCAAGGTTTGGAAAAAATCGAAGTGACAAACTGATAAACAGTGAAAATTAACATTTCCTTTTTATGATTGTTTATCAATAACAGTCTTTTATGTAGAACATTCAAAATTAATCTTACTGTAATTAGACTTTTTTTAATGACATTTTTATGAATTTACACATTAAAATAATAATAATGTTTGTAAATTAACGATTGTCTTTGAATGATTTCGATTTGTAATTTCATATCGGTCAATCATAAACGACAATGTCATGTTTGACAAAAATAGTTAGTATTAGCATAAATCTTCATATCACAACATTAGAACAAAGGAATGAAGTATTAACAAGATGTTACATTAAACTAGTTGAACTTATTATAGTAAGAATGATATTGAAGAATATTGAGTATTAAAAAATATAGTTGGTGAAGAGGAGAACTACTAAAACCATCATCAAGAAGGTACAAGTATTTATCTACGCAAGATACTCAACATCTATTGACCGGATACCATCAGCAACAACTGTCAACCAATATCAAAGTCAGAATCTTCAATGAGAACGTCAAGACAGTTCTACTGTACGGAGCTCAAACTTGGAGGACTACAACAACCATCATCAAGAAGGTGCAAGTATTTATAAATAGTTGTCTACGCAAAATACTCAATATTGGTTGACCGGATACCAATACTATCACCAACAGCCTTCTGTGGGAGAGAACAAACCAGCTCCCAGCTGAAATTTCGCGAAGAAAAGCTTGAAAATAATCTGGATAGCTCATTCCCATTCTTCGCTTTTTATTCACTATGTCCCATAACACAGTTTTTTTAATTCATGTTTAATTATGATAAAATAAATTTTACAATTTGATTTTTACTTTAAAATTGTCATTTTATCAAGTTCCTTATTAATTCCATTCTAACAGGAAATTATAGCTGGTGCACTAGACAAAGAGCCTCGTCTATGGCGTAAACCAAAATTGGAGAATTTTGAACATTTACGTCAAAAAGTTGTAACTTTTGAAAATCTATGGCATACATACGATAAATGGCAACCGAATAAACTGAATACTCATTCTTCAAATGATGCACAAATAATTAATGATGGAGAGTCAGGTTCAAACAACAGTGAATTTGAACCAGAAGGTCCAGCTTTACCTCCAGGATATTGAATTTTGTAAATGTATCATATATATATATATATATATATACAGTGTACAGATATATTCGTTATTTTTTGCTAGTCTCAAAGTATGAATAACTAGATTCATTCTGCACATATCGTTCTTGAGTGAATCGTTATTTTCTATATTTAAAAATATTTTTAGTCATGTATTCGGTAGTTTTTTCTAGTCCTGGATCAAGGAAGTTATTTATCAAAAAAACTTGTGATATTTTCATTACTTGAAGGTAGTCAACAGAAAACCTTGAATCTAGGCTGGCACTCGTCTGCAAATAATTTAATTTATATTAATAACAAGAAATAGCATCAAATGTTAGTATCAAAACAATAGTATGTCATTTCTTATTAGGAAAATTTTATTCGAAATAGAAAATACACAAAACAATAAAAAAAATATATAATCCAACTCAGTATTACTGATTTCATTGAGCGGATTTAATGCGATAATCGGTACAAATCTGTATTGATGTGATAGCTACCTACTCTTACCCGGAACTTTAAATCTCACTGAACCATAAAATATAATAAAACAAGTATTCATATATTTTGTAAAAATATTACTCGTTATATATCCTCTTGTAAGGAATATAAAATCATGATAAAAAAGTAGTAAGATAAAATGTATGAATAGGTTCAACAATAGGATATATTGTCTATTAGCCTTTTTTAGATCACACAGCAGCATGATTTGAAGAATTGTTACCTCATAAGACAATTACTTTGTCTTTTGATTTTTAATTAGACTGTTTCTTATCATTCACAGATTCTTGTTCAAATTCTAACTCTTCTGAACTTGATTGTATGGCTTTAGCTTTGTTCTTAAATGTGCCAATTTTCTCCTAATAGTTGGGGATTTCTTTAAATCAGAACGTTTAAGCTTCAAGTTTCACAGTGAGCATGATGCCGAAAATATCTTATGCACATTTCCTGCTATTGATGAAACTACATGAACACTTCTCTTGAACGAAGAAACTGTCAACTACACTACTGGATACAAGTTCTTTCAAAATAAAATCATGTAAATTGATAATTTATGCATGAGGTTTTTTTCACGTTGAAATTAAGGAACGAATTCGATCAATTATTATTGTAATCTACCCATCTTGAGCGGATTCGCTTCAGTTTAGAATTTTATTAAATTTGGATTGTAACTAGCAGTTAAATCCAGAATCCGCATTTTTTCCTATTTAAAGCCTGTCAGGTGGATGTACCTAAATCGTAGTATTAACACGTGCATATTCAAACTCTAACCAAATACCGTTTGTTTTAATACACGAGATATCTTGTAGCTGAGTTCACAATAGCTTGAATCGAGAAACCAACACAATTTTGAACGCATAGGTGTACATTTGTAAGAGGTTATGACATAAATGACTACTTCACAGATTAATATGATAGGAATGCCTTTTCAATTATGTTTGTTAAAATTGGCTTATCGATGTTTTCTTATACTGGTCTACATTATTTCAATTAATAAATAACTATAATACCATACTATGCTCTCTGAGTGATCTCAACCTATAACATTTAACATAAGCTAATTTGTTATTGTTAATTAATATAGACGTAATTTATTCAGGTATCTATGTTTTTTTTTAATCAACTTTCCGACTCAATGAATAGCTTTGATCAAGCTGAATAATAATTTAATTGATTCCCAATATGCTTTTAAAATAATTATCTTGATATTAAGTTCAGTTTGTATTGATGAATAGGGAAGAGGACTTTTCTTCCCCATACGACAACCACAGAAATAACAATCATAATTTTGATATTAAGTAAATAAACTCTGAGAAAGTGAGAGAACAACAACAGTAAACAGACAATGTTATTTCCCGTTAGTAAAAACTACTACCAATTCAATACTGTATAATAAATCAAATATAAGAACAAGATTGTTTTAATAGAGATGAAAGTAAATAAAATTTTCAAGGCAAGCAGACAACATAATATTAACTTTTTAAAAAAAACAATCAAGAAAAATTAGTATTAATACAAAGAATAATAAATAGAAATGCAAAATTATTCTGGGAGAAAAATAAACCTGAAAAAAATGGGAATAATTCCGTGCATCAATTAAAATTGACAACGATGTTATTATGTATATGGGCAGATGTGTTATGGATCGGAAAAATAGGAGCAGATATATATATGAGTACAATAGATTATCTGTGCGAATATTCAATCCTGTTAACGTGTGATTAATATTAAAATAAGTAATATTATCCCAATGTTTTAAAGAAGAAGAAAAAATAAACAGAACACAAAAAAAACACGAGATAAAATAAAATGACCATCATCATTAGTCTATTTATAAAGGAGGCGTTTTTTCAAAACCATATATATAAAGACATCTGACTATATATGTAAATAAAACCTAGTTCAAAGAGAAGTGAAATCATTGGGACTTCCCACAATTTATGTACGTACATAACAGAGTACAAGTTGCAAATTCCTATGAGATTATTATTGTATATATTGTGAATCAGATCATTTCATCGGTTGATAAACATTGTCAATACTCACAGAAATAAATGCTCCAGATACAACAAATAAGAAATTAAATGTATAATATACACAACCAAGTAAATTCTCTTTATCATATATACCGAGGAATAATTTGTCCTGTCAATAGACGGAAGACTGAGGTAGGCATTGTTCGAATATGTATCTTTATTGATAGGAAATTGAACAAAAAGAAAAATACGATGATGAGATTGTTTGTATACAGAATTTAGATTAGTTTAATTTTATTATTGGTCAAAATAAACTGACTCATGTAGACAGCTATTAAAAGAAAATTTCGATCTGGAAAGGACAAAATATGTAAGCACCGTTTGACTCCAATATTAACGATTCTGAAAATTACATCTATCATATTAGTGTCAACATTTGCTAGCACTGAGTCAGATGGGACAATGCTGCGGTTAGTGTGGTTCGCTTAACCGCATGGACTGATGATTTGCATGCATTCGTGTGTGTAGGCTGTTAAGTCCACTTGTCAGTGACTTCATGGACTTGTGCCATGTTTTGGTCTGACCGCCCCTAGCTTTCTTCCAATCTACTCCTACATCATAAAACACCGCTCGTCGGGGCAGTCGGTGGTTGAGCATACGTAACACGTGTCCCAGCCATCTCAACTGATGAAGTTTCACTACGTCATCAATTAATTTGCCATCCTTACCTAGTACCCATTTCCTAACAACTGCACTACTTACTCGATGGTCCCACGATATACTAGTAATGTTTCGAAGACACCTATGATCAAATACTAGTAACCTACGAATATCCTCTACTCTTATCGGCCACGTTTCACTGCCATAAAGTAGGACGGAACGAACTGCTGCGCAGTAAACGCGTCCTTTGGTTGATAGACGGATATCTCGCCTACGCCATAAATGACGCAAGTTGGCAAAAGCTAGTCAAGCCTTCTGTATCCGTGCTGAGATTTCGTCACACACTAGACCACAAGGGCTGATGAGACTTCCAAGATAAGTGAAGCGGTCGACACACTCAACTACTTCACTCCCTATTATTAGTTCGGGTGACGATGCAACCCGATCCTGAAGCAAAATTTCGCATTTCGAGGGGGAGAATCGCATCCCGAACATGCTGGCATTGTTGCTTATTGTGGTCAGAAGACTGTATTTTGTCAGCGTCTTCACCAAATAGAACTATGTCATCGGCATATTCTAGGTCAAAAAGTGAATCTGCGGTAGAAGTTCAACCTCTAGGAATTTAGATAAGGAAAGTGTCATCTCTAAAAGCACGCAAAAAAGTGCAATGATCTAGACAGTCATTTGAAAACGTAATTCATAACTGCTGCATCTCAGGTCTGGTCAACATTCCACTTAATTGGACTTAGCTTAGTAGTGTTATTACAGTAGGGACAGGAAAAATCCCCGTTTTATTGGCTATAAATGAGTATGGACTTTTTACTCTTCTACGTGTATGCGCTACACCAACTATTACACAATTGTCTAGTTGAAAGTGGCAGGGATGTAGTAAAAAACTTCCACTTAAAGTAATTTACATGTAGGTTAGTACTTATCAAAAAAGCACTAATTTTAATTTAAACCGTATTTTATTTGTGTAGTTAATTGTGGGGATGATTTTAATTTTGGAAGTTTTCTTGACTGACTGATCTCAGCCGTTTCATAAGTTAAGTGATATCACCAATAACACTGGATAATCATCGCGTCATATCACGAACTGATTGAAATGGGCCAGTTGATTCTGACCCTGAGTACCACAAATAACATGATCGCCGTGAGTAGTTATTATCTTGGATTTAACGTTTAGTAGAGATTGTGGGTGAAAACAATTTCGAATTAGAACAGAACACTTGTCCATTATTATTTCCTATTTGATTTTCAACGTTTCACGAGCTGAAATTAGTAGTAGGTAACAGAAATATTAAGTCAAATTATATTTACTTAGGCATATAATCTCAGGGGAACTTCTGTTATGGAGAACAAAATGCTCCATATACACAAGGAGTTGCATTGATGCTGTCCAAACAAGCACAAAAGGCACTTATAGGATGGGGATCTCATGGACCAAGAATCATCAAAGCCTCCTTCAAAACAAAGAAAGAGGGCATTTCAATGAACGTCATTCAATGCTATGTGCCTACCAACGACTACAATGAAGACGCTAAAGATCAATTCTACAATGGGCTGCAGTCAATCATCGAGAAGTACCCAACAAAGGACCTGACCATTCTGATGGGAGATTTCAATGCCAAGGTTGGAACGGACAACACTGGATATGAAGACATCATGAGACGACATGAACTGGGAGAAAAACACGAAAATGGTGAGAGATTTGCAAACCTATATCCCTTCAATAAACTGGTCATAGGTGGGACTATATTCCCATACAAACGCATACACAAAACCACATGAACTTCACCGGATCACACTACACAGAACCAAATCGACCATATCGGCATCGAAAAAAGTTCAGGAGGACGATGGAAGACGTGAGAACCAAGAGGGGAGCTGATATAGCATCAGATCACCACTTGCTGGTCGCCAAGATGAAATTGAAACTCAAGAAGCACTGGACAACGGAGCGGACAATATCACAAAAGTTCTTCAGGATACTAACAAACTCAACAAATTCAAGATAGTCCTCAGCAACAAGTTCCAGGCCTTTCATGACCTACTCAATGGAGAAGGAACTACTGTGGAGAGCAACTGGAAGGGAATCAAAGAGGCAATCACTTCAACAAGTCATGAGGTCCTGGGTCACAAAAAGCACCATCACAAGGAATGGATCACTGTTGATACACTGGATAAGATTCAAGAAAGGAGGAACAAGAAGGCAGCAATCAATACCAGTCGAACAAGAGCAGAAAAAGCCAAGGCACAAGCTGAATACACAGAAGTAAACAAACAGGTGAAGAGGAGCATCAGAACCGACAAACGTAAATATGTGGAAGATTTAGCAACGACGGCGGAAAAGGCTGCAAGAGAAGGAAACATGAGACAATTGTATGACATAACAAAGAAACTCTCTGGAAATCGCCGCAAACCAGAACGACCATTGAAAAGCAAGGAAGGTGAGGTAATCACCAACATTGAAGAGCAACAAAACAGGTGGGTAGAACACTTCAAAGAACTCTTGAATCGACCAGCTCCACTGAACCCACCCACCATCGAAGCAGCACCCACGGACCTCCCAATCAATGTTGGCCCACCAACAATTGAAGAAATCAGCATGGCCATCAGACAAATCAAGAGTGGCAAAGCAGCAGGACCGGACAACATTCCAGCAGAGGCACTAAAAGCAGACGTAGCGGTAACTGCAAGGATACTCCACATTCTCTTCAATAAGATTTGGGATGAGGAACAAGTACCAACAGACTGGAAAGAAGGACACCTCATCAAAATACCAAAGAAAGGCGATCTCAGCAAGTGTGATAACTACAGAGGCATCACTCTTCCCTCAATACCGGGAAAAGTCTTCAACAGGATATTGTTAAACAGGATCAAGGACTGTGTAGACGCCCAACTTCGAGACCAACAGGCAGGATTCCGTAAGGATAGATCGTGTACAGACCAAATCGCAACTCTACGGATCATTGTGGAAGCTTCTTCGACACTACGGCATGCCTCAGAAGATAGTCAATATCATACAGAATTCATATGATGGATTACACTGCAAAATCGTGCATGGAAGACAATTGACAGACTCGTTCGAGATAAAGACCGGTGTCAAGCAAGGTTGCTTACTCTCACCCTTTCTCTTTCTCCTGGTGATCGACTGGACCATGGGGACGTCAACATCTGAAGGGAAGCACGGGATACAGCGGACATCTAGGATGCAGCTGGACGTTCTAGACTTCGCAGACGATCTGGCCCTTCTATCCCAAACGCAACAACAGATGCAGGAGAAGACGAACAGTGTGGCAGCAGCCTCAGCAGCAGGAGGTCTCAATATACACAAAGGGAAAAGCAGGATTCTCCGATACAACACAACATGCACCAATCCAATCAAAATTGACGGAGAAGATTTGGAAGATGTGAAAACCTTTACATATTTGAGCAGCATCATTGATGAACAGGGTGGATCTGATGCAGATGTGAAGGCGCGGATCGGCAAAGCAAGAGCAGCATATTTATAACTGAAGAACATCTGGAACTCAAAGCAACTGTCAACCAACACCAAGGTCAGGATTTTCAATACAAATGTCAAGACAGTTCTACTGTATGGGGCAGAAACCTGGAGAACTACGAAAGCCATCATTCAGAAAATACAGGTGTTTATTAACAGCTGTCTACGCAAAATACATCGAATCCGTTGAACAGAAACTATCAGCAACAACCTATTGTGGAAGTGAACAAACCAGATCCCAGCGGAGGAAGAAATCAGGAAGAAGCGCTGGAAGTGGATAGGACACACATTGAGGAAAGCACTCAACTGCGTTACAAGACAAGCCCTCATATGGAATCCACAAGGCTAAAGGAAAAGAAGGGGACCAATGAACACATTACGATGAGAAATGGAGACAGACATGAGAAGAATTGGATAGAACTGGGAAGGAAGGCCCAAGACAGAGTGGGTTGGAGAATGCTGGTCGGTGGCCTATGCTCCATTGGGTGTAACTGGTGTAAGTGAGTAAGTAAGGTACATAATCATTTGATGAGTATGATAAAAATGCATAGTTGTAACGTCAAGCGTGAAAAAATTGAGTTACATTTGAACTAAATGAAATTTTTAATATTAATTTTAACAAATTATTTTTTCACACACTTACTTCACCAACTGAAGTAGCCAGAAGTTGTACAATTTTTTCATGTGATACAGCAACTACACTTTCACCATTAATTTCAATAATTCTATGATCTACACGAATTCCACCACGTTCAGCAATACCACCACGAAGTAGGCTACAAATTACACCATCTTGTACACTGAAACCAAGTTGATAATTTAAACTAGGACGACGAATAAGTACTTCAACAACAGGTGGACAACTGATTATCATTAATTTTACGATTGTAGATTGCCGACAATTCTGTAAAGATTATATAAATGTAAAACTGTTTTTTTTTTTTTAGAAAACGTCTACCTTGATGATGACTTACACTACACCATTATTAAAAATGTCCAATTAATTTAATTCATCAAATTAGGTAGTTCATTGTCCATATGATTTCATAACTAGCAGGGTTTAGTCACAAAGGGATTTTCCAGAATACTCATACAACCTCTAAGACACTGATAAATTACTCTATCACAACGAAGCATTGAAGAGAACTAAAAAGTCTGGCCAGTCATTAGAGAACATTCACAAGTTGGATATATGGTTGTAAACTTAAGTAGAAGGTATTTACACGACACATGGACTATCTGGTTGGGCTTTGAGTGATTACCGTCAGCAAGGGGTTAGACTTCAGCTGATTGGGATTAAAATCGTCTGTAATACAACAGGTTCATCCACTTGATTTCTTTCCTTAGATCTAAAGTTTACTTCACTAATCTATATTTTCTCGAAGTGTATCTTCGATACGTAGACTTTTTTATTACTACTAACACTGTTACGACTTTTACCACTCTGGGACTTACACTGACAATTTCACCGCATTGCGCGTAGAACGTAGTATTAGCGTTTATTTGAAATCAGGAGTGATCTGAAACAACACAACAGTCAAGACCGGTAAATGCCTCTGACGTAACAACGCGGCGTATTAGCACAACAGATTTATTTTGTAAAATTAAAAGACGCGGTTGGGGTACAAAAAGGGAAAACTTATTACAAAATAGTTTTATCCATCGTTCTGCAGGTTCAGCTTACGTAAGGCTTATTCCTCTTCTTCCAGTATGTTTACTCTTTGATGCACTGCAATAAGTTGGTTTTGACTAGGCGATACGCGTCGGCGAGACGACTACGAGAATTACGGATTTATGGTACGTGGTCATGAGCCTCACATGGTAGCAACGGTATTTGTATCTCGACAGGTAGGTGTAATTCATTCCCATGACTGGCATACCTGGGGGAAGAGTTGGCTTTCAAAAGCTGCACTTCGGTCAGAATAGAACGCTGTAACGGGAAACCCAATGATCGTTCGTGCCGCCATGAAGGCATCTTGTTGTGGAATAGGGACGCCTTCACACCGTTTGCTATAACAGCCCACCATCACCAGTATTAAGCAACACAATTTAAAGGTGAAACCATCTAAATGTCGACTTTTGCAAAAAGTAGTACTCTTTTTGGGATAATCGTTCATCAATAAGTCGTTGACTGAATGTTGGGATGATGTAATACCTCAATGCATCTTAACTTATCACGCATCATTGCACTGGTCCACAGGATTTTCACCCGCTACTTTACTTTTTCGGCATGAATTACACCTACCTGTCGAGATACAAATACCGTTGTTACCATGTGAGGCTCATGACCACGTACCATAAATCCGTAATTTTCGTAGTCGTCTCGCCGACGCGTATCGCCTAGTCGAAACCAACCTACAGAATGCTAGCAATCACCAGAAGGATGTATACGACCGACAAGCGAACGAGTCGGTGTATAAATCTGGAGATAGTGTTTGGCTGCACCGCCCTGTGGCTCCACCAGGAACATGCAGCAAAGAGTAAACGTACTGGAAGAAGAGGAATAAGTCTTACGTAAGCTGAACCTGCAGAACGATGGATAAAACTATTTTGTAATAAGTTTTCCATTTTTTGTAGCCGAACCGCGTCTTTTAATTTTACAAAATAAATCTGTTGTGCTAGTACACTGCGTTCTTACGTCAGAGGCATTTACCGGTCTTGACTGTTGTGTTGTTGTTTCAGACCACTCCTGCTTCCAAGTAAACGCTAAAATTACGTGTGCAACTGGTGATGGAGGTGGAATTAGAACCCACGTTAATGGGGCATAACATGTATACATATCTCAGATTCTATATTGTGCATCACTGATGAACTGACTAAATTATCCTTAAGGAGGAATACACAAAATGGCGTAACCTCTCAATGTAGTTGCATAATAACCCTATTTTATTGACCTATAAAAAACGTCTTTATTACTACACACCTTAAATCTTAGTGAGAATTCAAATAAGAACACACTGTATCATCGTGATCAAAACTAAATGTGAGATGGTAAAGATTTGAAGCTCAGGTGGATGATGAAAGCTCCCTGACCTAACCATTTAGCCTAGAGAATAAAACTCCACCAAAATTAAATGTAACAAACAATTAACATTCAAAATTTACCTTAATTATTTGTTGACATGTTAAAAGTGGCAGGCCAACTAAACTTTGCCCATTAACAGCGACAATTTGATTTCCGATATTCAGTTGTCCACATCGTGCAGCTGGACCAGTTGGATGCATATTAGCTAATAAAGCAGTTGGTAATAGACTGCCCCAACCAGATTCTACAATTACGACACCTAATGATTCACCTTTTTGTTTCGGTATAGTAACCTGTAAAAATTAAGTAAAACATTTGGTTTATGAATATATATAAATACATATTAGGGGAACTGAGGGTGAAGTCAGTCAGTCAGTTATCTACAACGTAGGACCAGGCACATATGCATCGGTCCAAGTTGCCATACCTCATTAGCACAACTAGATGAACACCGGATTCATAGTAGTTACTTCAATGATAGTACTATGCAAAGAAGATTGCATATAAGGATATGCTATAGGGAGAAAGAATTAGTTTGTAGGAAGGAAGGTATAGAGTAATTTTAATCTCATGGTTTAAGGGAAGACATCTAAAACATCTAAAGATATTTGTATGAGTTAGAGTATGATCACGGCCGATTTCCTACAGAAACTGTATCGGTAATTCTTGTTTAGATTTCAATGGACATTTCCTAATTCACGTTTTTCATCAAGTTGAAGGTTGTAAATAAATTTATCAATTGAAGACTTGGTGCATGGGATTCGAATGAATGAATCAAACGTTGAGTATTTATTTTTTACCGCTACAAAGATAATACAAGATTATAAGTGACACAACAGTTATTGTACTCCTTTGTGATTATTAACGCCATTATTACTGTTACTCATAGTTTACATTGAAAACTAGGAAGCCCAAAATAGCGATGTTGCGTTTTAGAAAAAAGCTCCTTAATAGAATACAACCAATGTCAAGTTTAAGACAAGTTTTGAACTCAAAACTTTAATAGATCGTAGCGAGTATGTTACTTTTAAGCTGTTAAGTCAAAATGATTTGATTTCAGTCGATTTGCGATAATAATAATAATAATAATAATAATAATAATAATAATATTATTATTATTATTATTATTATTATTATTATTAATATTATTATTATTATTATTATTATTACAACTAAGATAATCAAAACACAAACTGGCTGAATACTAGAGTAGTCAATGGATAATCTAGTTAAACCGCTCACTAAACAAAAATATGATTCATTCAAGCAAATTGTAGAACATTGAAATCGATTTTAGTTATTCTTATCACTAAACAAAAATGAAAAGAAAGAAACATACCTCTTTATGATTATCTTTATCACAAAATAAAGAAAGTTCATCACAGAATATTTCTTGTTGTTTTAAAATATCATCATAATCTAATTGTTTTATAATGCCTAAATCTTCAATACCATTTTCTCGTAGAAAATCTAAGTAAGCAAGTTGAAATGCGTGTCCAACTGTTTGAGCAATTAACTGAGCCTTAAATGATAGAAAAAAGGACACCAAATGAATTAATTCAACTCACTAATGATAGGTTTACGTACTTATCAGACTTAAAGAAAATTAAAGTTTACTTATGCATTAAATTATTAACTATTCTTTGTAGTGTAGATGCTGTGTTATTGATAGCCACTACCGCTTTGATGTGATGATGAATGTTGTTGATAATTGATTTTTATATATTCAAGTTGCTACTTTTGAAGAGATTGCGATATCAGCTAAAACGGGCGAATGGAACGAAAGTCAGTAACACAACAACAAAACAAGCTAAAGTATCCCACTGTACCCCAACCCTGCTAACTAGAGGGAGAAGACCAGATTCAACCAAGGTAAAAGTATATTCCACAAGCAGTCTAAAGCATGAATGAACAAGCGCACAACTCACACGTACATATACAGTACAAAAATGTCCTTGGAAAACGTCACAAAATACAGTGACGAGAGACGAACCAATGACATACAAGCTTCTCCCAAGTGGGAAATACAAACTGAAGGTAAAAGTATGCACTTTTAGAGTGAAACTGAGAAATTTAAACTTCCAAAATAAAATTACCAAAATGAGACGTTTACCAAGTGATTTCTGGAGATCTAGCATCCCCAACACTAATAATATGCATACATTGAAGTAATTAGACAAAGAAATGACACAATATCATATTATATTAATCATGGGAATGCTGACGATAGTTCTCAAAAATCCAGATCCTGACTAAGTTGTATTGGTTTGCACTTTTCAGCAGTAGTTCCCATAATAAAATGAAATTCGGTTAAAATTAGTTGAAAATCAGTTGTTAGATCCTTTTCATTAGAATACTATTATTTTAAAAATAGTAAGACAACTTAGTATAGAGGATATAACCAATTATTCACAAGAAAACTTTTTTTACTTAATATTCCCATGGATATGTGATTTATCTTCGAAATTTACCAAATTGTTATTCGACTCATAAAGTTAATAGTGATCTGACAATTTAATCGCGCTGTGCTAATGAGGTTTGGCAAATTGAACCGCTTTACAAATATGCTAGGTTCTATGCTGCGTATAACTGATTGACCGAGCAGTGCACTGCAGTCTTGAGTCTTTAGAAGCTTCAGTAATGTACACTAACACATTTGATCACTAATCAACCAGAACAAGGTAAGGATAATTAGTAGTTTGACAGACCTTTCTCAGAAAGTTCCAAAGTATACTAACTAATCAGAGAGTCTTCGGGATTTTCATTGGCTTGTGAAGGATTTTTTCGAGGACTTCTAACAGCAAGGTCTTAAAAGTACGGAACTAACGCATCAAGAACTACTCCCAAAAAATCTGTGTCCAAACAGCCTTAAACACTTATCCCTTGGGCTTTGAGATCACGCTCCTCAGTCAAAAAGACCACTAATAATCAAGTTTTCGATTCAGATACTTTAATAAAAATGTATCCTTCCACGGTGTGGGCAACAAGGAAGTTGGAGATGCTTTCACATCCCTGACAGCACTAGAGATCCTCTTATTCACGATCATATACCTTCACCACTTAATATTTCGTTTATTTTTTATAGCAATAAAATAAGACTTCCATATTAGACGAATTTGATAACATACAAAACAGAATTAATAAAAACACACAAACGTTATGGCAATAAGAAGAAAAAGTAAATACATACTTCTGTTGATTCTAACACATGACAAATCATTTTCATTGGCTTTTTTAATTTTTCTATCATTGATGATTTTGTAACGCTGGAAATATTTGAATTAGGTGGTACTACTGAGTGTTGTTGCTCAGTATTATTATTATTATCGGCGTTATAATTTGAATTTTCTTTCGGTCCATTATTCTGATGATTAGACGTAAAATAATCTTCAGACTCATCTGATTGTGTTGAAGGATCTAATCGACGTGACATTAGAACAAATAAGTCGCCAATATCAGCAATATATGAAACTGCACGTAATTTATGATCAATCAAAATATCCTATGACAAATTAAATAAAAGAATAAGATAAAACAGAACTTATTTAAAGGATTTTTTAATTTGTTGCATATTTTCAATTTTGTTTATTATTATTGTGTAAATAAATACATTTGAAAATATCCCAAGTAGTAGGAGGGAGATGGCAGAAAACATTAGATCTAGGTTTTGTTGCCACTGACCTATTAGGGCCACGCATACCTGCCTCAATGATATGTTAATAAGGTTATTGAGGTGTAAAAATAAATATGGTGATATGATGAGTATTCACGAATAAAACAATGAAAATATAAGACATAAGTAAAGGGGGGGAATGCAGTAATAATAATAATAATAATAATTGGATAATCAAAATAATTAAGACCAAGGTAACGATAACGATAAGACGTACTTCTTTTGTACGCATAGTTCTGGTTTAAGCTCCTGGATGGTAAGAGCTTCGGCTATTTTTAAAAGTTGGATGCGAAGAAATCTGGGTAGATTTGAACGAATCATATAAACAACCTTAAATTCATCTTTTGGAAGCTCTTACCATCCAGGAGCTTAAACCAGAACTATGCGTACAAAAGAAGTACGTCTTATCGTTATCGTTACCTTGGCCTTAAGCATTTTGATTATCCAATTAGGTTATTGCCGAGAAAATAAAATATTTCTTGAAAATAATTGTGGTAACTCGTTAATGAGTTATGCTTATCATCCTGTTGATAGAATGGAAAAAACGGTAGTATAGTTTAGCAATCAAACATAATCGTATGAAATTGGGTTTGAACTAAAACGCATTTGCATAAGCAAATTAACCTGTTAGTCAGCTATTTAAAGAAACGTTGATAGAGAATTCTCAGTGGGTTGAAATTTTTTTAACATTTCAAACATTAAGTCATCGTGAATTCATTGTGTATTGTTTGTTTGAGTCTTCTCATTGATGTTTATGACTGCAACTGACCAGTCACTTATTAGCATATGTGAATTCTGTGCTGATTGCCTCAATATCGCTTTAAGTCACAGGCACTATAAGCAAAGATAGATGGTGGGTAGAAGTGGAATCCTGGACGCGTGGTTCGTCCTATTTGGGACTCTAAGAGTGAACATCAACTCTGTAATGCGGATAAATCCAGCTGACGAGTCCCAAACAGGACGAAACGCGCGTCCTGGATTCCACTGCTAGTCATGACTCGTCTTTGCACATTAAGACATCGATTCTCAAGCAAAACAAAGAAAATTATAGTCAAATAAGTCTATCAATCTTTTTAAATATATAGAGATCCTTAAAACACACACACCATGGTATTGCTCCTGCACTCATATACTGATATATTTTTATAGAAGCGAGAAGTAGGCTCAGGGAGAAATTTCTTATTCTATCCAGGATTTATTGGAAACTGATAGACTCAATACTGATTATTAGCACTGGATGACTCCGTAGTACTGTGATGGATGACGCTCAGTGATTTGAAGTCGCAGACAAATAATGTGAATTCGAGGGGGGACATATCATAAATCACTTACTTTGTCATGACTACATTCTTTTATTTTGAACTCAGACGTTTTTAGAAGAAAAATATTCGGTACTTCTAGACAAAACTCTTTGTTAGAAGATCGAAATTAAAGAATTTTGATGATAATCTTGATTTTATCTTTTGTACGCATACACTGAGATAAAAATCAGTCAGTTATAATCAATTCTTCCGATTGATAAATTAGACTAAAGCAAAGACGACAAGCATGGTAGAGTACGGTGAATTCATCATTAATTTATTACACAGATTCCTAACTGATGACACCTCAGTTGTATTTACCAGTACACAATGGAAGAGCAGAAAAGAGAGTTCTTGTTTATATCTCGTACCATAATCCACAAAATTGAGGTTATAAAGCTAGAATATTTTCAATAGTACCATTGCTCGTCATGTGCTTGATAATGGACACAACGTTGACATCTTAAAATCATTCAAAATAATCGATACTACGTTGGGCTAAAGCTATCGCTCATTGAAAATGAACCAGCCTATTTAAACCGATACAGCTGTAAATTACACACTACCCTGGTAACTTATATTCTTCATTATTCAATAGCGTAGTATCGTATTTCATATTCTCAAGAGTAAATTCCTTTCCTTCATCCTTGGATGGTTCTGTTCGTCTTACTCTACTAATCTGTCTAATGTTATAGCTATCGTTAAATAACGCTAATGTCGATGTTCATTATCAGCTCAGGAAACGAAACTCCACCAAAATCCTCTGTCTGAATTACAAATCTTCACCATCTCTAGAATTAGCAACATATAAATATCCATCCATTTTACCATTTTCTAATTCTTCCATAACTGTTATCGCTATTCGACTTAATCTTCATTAAAATGATATAAAATATGTGCATTAGTTGTAAATAATTATCACTATTGTTTTTATAGGTTGTAAGCAGCTGATAAGTATCCAAAAAATAAATGATAAATTCACCTTATTCTGTTACGCTTATTGTTTTTTGCTTTATTCAATGTCATAATCGACGTAAAAATGAGCATTTAGTCCAAGTTGTCATGACACATCAGCATAATAAGATTTAATTAACGAAATGAATAGCAATGATAGTGGAAAATACTAAACATTGAGTATATGGTTCAAAAAGACTGAATAAAGTGACGTGTATGGAGAAATCTGGGAAATAAAAATCTAACGAAAGATTAAGAGTGAATGCACCTGGGTCACTATGAATGATTCTAAGAAACATCCCCGATTATCTTCAAGCATTTATTGGGATGAGAGGGTGAACTCCAACCAACTAGTTTGAATTAACAAAGATGGCTTAGTTCAATAGTAAGTGACTTCACGGACTGATAATATGTGCTGGCCGCTACTAGCTTTCCTACAACAGTCATCATTGAGGGTCGAGGTAGGCAGTAGTTGGGCATACGTAACACATGTTCCTAACGAATTTAGTATATGAAGATTCACAATCGATTTGCAACAGAGATAAAACTAGACAGAAATAACGTTTCGAAACAAATAAATATAGAAACTCACTTCAAGATTACTGTTTAATATCATAATACGTTCTGTTGAGACAAACAATTCAACTGTTACGCTAGGATGTGATTCGTCATCTGGAGCCTGAATGTATAAAAACAAAACGACAATGACCATAAGTATTATCTTCGTGCACTAAATAGCTCCGATATGTTGCTAAATAAATGAAATGTAACAGGATTTGGTCAAACTACAGTTTGAACATTGTCATTCAAACACTTGATTATTTTAGTAACATACGACTTGATTAAACATTAATACATTTTAAATGCAAATAAAAACGTACATAACAATGTATTGTATGCTCAAGCAGATATTATTTTAAACATTTTGCAAAGAGAAAAAGTCACATTAACAACGTGGACAGCAAACATATACTGATGATACAAAAAATAAAATACAACTAAATTATTACAAACATGTGGAACACATAGTATTACTGTTAGCTTTATTTAGAAATATGACAGTGGGTACCTCCCTCCAACATGTAGTTTAAATTGTAGCGAGCAGTAATATATGTTCACAGTAGTGATCTCATTCAGCTATAAAGAATATTTAAGATTTGGTTTGTACTTTAAAATACAATAAGTACACTATTTTACGCAAGTCAATCTAACAATAAAATTTATCCGTATTTGTAAGTGTAGAATAACGACTACATAGTATTATTATAAATTTTAGTCTTCACTACTCTGTAGAGGTAAATAATTCCCTAAATTAAATAGCTTTGTAAGCATACGACATGAATGCTGGCGTTTTCAGTTTCACTGGATACCAACTAGTTGAAAATATTCGGTCACGTATCATTACTAGGTTAAGTCACAAGTCACCGTGCAACTCTGTTCTCCTACATTAACTAGACGGTTTAAAAGTCGCAGGTAGCGTTACCTGTATATACAACCATATATGTCTTCCCCTCTGACAATCATCACTTTTCTTATTTATCATTTGGATCATTTCACCAGAAGATAATTAGTTAATAGTATTACTCAACTCTGCCGTAACCAAGTTATCTTTACACTAACCCTCTCGGATCTTTAACTGTCATTTAACCTTATCACTCGGAATTTGATGAGTTTTATGGCTTCAACAAATTTAGTTTTATTGGTTATGGTGTAGCACGCACAATGCTGGTACTTAGAAATAATCATGTGAACTCAAGTGTTTAAAAATGAACACATAGTATATATGTGTATATGTATCTCTTCTACATAATTGTATACGCTAAGAACGAAATGATAAACACAAGTATAACTCGAATAAATGCTAATACATATTGATACAAAAATATGCACACTGAGTACATGTATTAGAAAACAAACACGAATTTGCAAAGATACAACAACAATAAAACATGCATTTCAGCTTACACCCTGGATTTAAAAAGAGAAAACAGGAAAAAAGAAGAGTATTAGTTTGAAATCTCATTGGTCATGACGTGTATGCTTCCCTTTTCTCATCAGTTATGTTCTGCCTTTAAAAGATGGACGTCTCTCAACCAGCAGTCACAACACTCAATAGTCCATTAGTCGGTCATAACTAAATTTCAGAACATCGAAAAAACATGCATCTATCTAATTTATCATATAGTTTGTTTCAGGGTTACGAGAAAAATTTCCCCCTATATTCATTAGGACAGAGACAATTGTAGCTAGACAGCAGCATAGTTGGACTTTAAAAATCCATACAAACAATGCCATCTTTTTATATTGATTCTACCCTAAAATGCATAATAGCGACATTGTTACGCCAGTCACTGTCGGTCAAAAGCAGAGTGGAATCTACTAATCAGGTCCACGGCTTCAAATTGTTACACCAAATCAAAACAGTGAGATGAAATCAAGATGAAAAGCGAAGTAGTAATATCAATGATTGTAAAAAAAAGGATTAGGGATAGACGATATGATTAGAAAATTGATTTATGGAATAAAAAGTATGAAATAATTTTGAAACTAAGGATCTAAGGGAAGACAAATGGTGGATGCATTTGGGACGATGAAACTGTTTATGAGCCATGTCACCCAGAGTTTCAGACCATGTCATGATTTTTTTGCAGGTCCCAACCAGATAATACTTTGCATTTACCAGTATGGCTCAAACCAACCACATGAGCTGTAAACGTAAATGTAAAATTATCATGCTTACTCAAAATCATTATTGATAAATGTTGAGATTATTCCATTGATGATATTCAAGATTAAATTTCGATGAGCCTCGTTAGGTTTATATGTATCATGTACAGTTTGACTGGATACAACAACTTTTCGCAAGTTCTTTTAGAACAGATGGATTGTGGCTATCAGTAAGATTTATAACTCGTTTTTCATCTAATTTTGGACTCGTCAGATGGATGTACCTGCATCCCAGTGTTGATGCGTTCAGACGGAGACCCGAATCCAGTCCCTTTCAGTTGAGACGCTCAACGTGTTATCAAATGACCTACTGAGCCAAGATAGTCACTAACTTTTGTAGCAGGTAAGATGTTAATATCGTTATTGATAAGGATTTCATATATCGAGTCAAGTTTTCGGTTTTATTATATGCAGAGAGTCGCTGGTGAACATTGTTGAAGAATCAAATACTACTGTGAGACAGCTAGTAGCTATAGCATATATAATAGTATTAAAATAAATATCTAACCTTGATACGATTCACTACTTCTTGAGCTTGAAGCATACGAGACATTCGTGTTGATTGTTTATTACATAAAATCTGAGTACTTCCCATATACTGAGCTCGAAACAATAATCCATGTATGAGAACATCTGGTTGTTCAGGATGTCGAACAGAGACTGAAAGAAAAATGTAGTCGTATAAAATAATAATGTTGAAATGATGAACATAAGATAATTATTATTTTTCTTTGAAATAGTTAAAATATGAGGTTGTGTAAACACATACATACACCACTATCCTAACCAATTCTTACGCAGTCAGTCATATTCCATGTAAGGCATAACACAATTGTGCATTAAGCAGAGTCACCACATACTAAAACAGAACAGTCAGATAAAAGTGACAAGCTGAATAATAAATTAGTCAGTGACAGCAATAGCCATGGCTTTAAAAAACAGTAGGGAATTTATTCACGGAATAAAACGTGAAGTTATTAGCTAGAATCTGATAATTTGTAATGAAAGGTGTTTGGGGAATCGACGAACTATTAGATGCAACGCTGATTGATTGACTGATAATGTGGAATGATACAATGCGGTCGAGTGATGGACACTCACGGGACCAAATTGATGCAACCTCTTGAATGATTTTAGATTAAACACAGAACCACTAGCCAGAAAAATAGGTTTTTTCTTATGTAGTAAAATGACAAGTTTATATACGGAAGATTAACACAAAATAAATATGATAAATCGTTATAGGCGATTGACGGGAATCAGTTTTATAGGTCGCTCATGCTTCAACCAATTAAGGCCTGACTGTTAGGCCCAATTCTTAGACATTGTACCGGAAATATTAAAGAACTAGGAATTAGAGGAAGTTCAAAAATGAGAACATTTGGACCACTGTAACGTATTTTAAATCATATCACCTATGGTCTCGAAGATGTATATTCCTACTGAAACAGATTACCAAACAAACAGCCAATAACTTTTTAGAATGATCTCAAATCTTGACTTATCCACCCCAACCTTTCTTCCAACCTCCATCTATGCTAATCAGCACTGTAGGTCCATGTAGGAGGTGGTTGGACATACGTAATACATGCTCAGTTCACCACCATAGTTTCGTCAGTCAATTATCATCCTTATCAGGGACCCCATCCCATGTCATTCACTTGAAAATTGTACTAAAATTAATATTTAAAACCAGTGGTATATTTTAATTGTTTAATAACACCTAATAGATTAAATTAACTAATTTAATTATAAACGAGTAATTAACTAGTGTTTCATTTACTCGAGACTTGATTCATATGTTTTGTGTGAGGACAAATTGATATGATACGTAATGTGACGGAGTTAATAATGTACACTAATAACGCTTGAAAAATCCAACAATATAGAGAAGATAGGCTCTGTAAGAAAATGAATTTCCTACATGGATAATACGTGTAAAGAAGGTTTATTTGTAGGTGGGTATATTAACATGAAGGACATGATGTTGGTGACCTTGTTTATGCAAATAATCCAGCTACTCGTTTTAGCTTGGTCACACATTTGATTAGATGCATCGCTAATGCTTCAATCAAAATGTTTAAATGGAAATAGTTGAAATGAGGCTTGGAATTGAAACTCACTACTCCAATACAAAACAAGAACACAATGAAATTGTTGTGCAATAATTCGGCATACCATATAGTAATAAATGCAATATTATTAACAATTATCGAAAAAGGCTAAAAATTGTAAACTTTTGTTCATATAATTATATTTCTACTTTCCTTTAACTTATTAGACTCATTACATTCAAACAATTCGACAATATACAAAACAGAGGGTATCATTAACCGTTTTGATGTTCAATAATAACAGGATTTATCAATTTTTTAGCGTAGTACAGTTGAATATATCATTAGTAAAGAAAGGAGAGGGGGTGAGATACGTGTGTTTTTGTTATCTGGTTAGAAATTTATGGATTTAAAGTAGTAGTTAGTGAAAGCGAACATAAAGAAGTGAAAAAAAACTATAAAATGTAGTGAAAGTCAAGTAGGGAAATAGTACAAATTTAGATTATTATTAATACCAATAAAATATAATAATAATAATAATAATTATTATTATTATTATTATTATCATTATTATTATTATTATCATTATTATTATTATAACATATAATCATACGACTACATTGGAGATGAATTTTTCGTCGATTGGATATGAAATCTTAGAAAATTGTGTTCATGATCACTAAAGAAGAATACCGGCAGCTATGGAGAAATTGATGCTACAATCTTAAGAAATAAAAAAATTGACAATTTTCAGCAAACATTTATTACTGTCAACTATTTATAAGTGAAACGATGGTTTTGTTGTATTCTGCATTTGGATTCGATTACGACATACACATCCTACTATGCACTAAACCCACTATGCAAATGAAATGATGGAAATAAGTAGGAAGATTTGATCGTCTAACCGAATTGTAATGTACAAAAATCATAGGTATATATCTTGGAGATGTGACGTTCTCTGTTCTCTTCAGCTCAAGGAACACTATCTTCAACACTCTTATTCTGAGTTACAAATATTCTCCATCGTGTTATAGGCATACATAAATGGTTATTTTTCTGACCCCAACACGGACATGTAGGTTGGAACCCTGAATAAATGACTAACCAGCTTCCGTCAATAGCGTTTCTCGTTTACAATTTTTCACCTATCGTTAGACGTTTAGGTAATGTGAGCACAGGCACATGCTGTGTTCATATTTATTCAGCTTATCAGGTTTGATAGATGAAACATTCAGATTTCAATCAGTAGTTTTCAAGTTTTAACATTTGATGTGTTGACTATACCCAGACAAGTATTAGTAATACCCCTTAAAAGTGTCTATGAGTCAAATTCAAGTACATAAAACATTTTTCTTTAAACCGTGGCAAGTAAAACACTAACCACTTAGTTTTTTATTATTATTAGTACTATTATTATTACTAGTTAGTACTAATGGGTAGCTTTTAATTAGGTACAACGTAAACATTATCAAGATCAAAATAATCGAGCCTAATTGAAGACATGAGTACAATGTGATATGCATATGATAAACTTTTAAGGTTGATTTCCTTTTTATTAATGGCGATGACAATCCAAATCTCGAAAATGACCTAAACACCAGATATGCATGTATTTATTAACAAAGTATCTGGACTGAGTTCATAAATTCACATTGACTGTTCAAACAAAAAACTGCTTCATAATATACTTGGGATTATCAGAGTAGGTGTTAGTGGTCAATCATAGAAAACGATGTAGTATTTAGGTATAAACGGATATTTATCCTAATTCCAGTATAGCACCGGAGAAATTAATAAAATGAAAAATATAGGAAAGGGAAAAATAATAACAAATGAAACTGCAACCTAGACACAATCCAAAAAAGAACAAATGAAATCGTTTAGAATAGAAAACTGAGAGTGTTACCGAAAATTCGCTTCGAGTCCGTTTATATTATGATCTCTTATTACGACCCAGCTACTTTTATTACTTAGTATTCTTTAGACACTTTCCTTCACTCGACAAGTCCTTAAATCAGAACACCGCTAAACAGGAACGTAATTATATCCCAAATAAACAAGGTTGGATGTGAGCAGGAATCACAATAAAAAAAGTTAGTATATAATTTTAACATAAGATTTTAGAGTCTTCTCTAAGTATCCGCTAGGGCTGATTGGCTAAAAAATGACAAACCAGCAAGCTCCAACATAATCCTGCACAAAATATGCTCTAATCCAACCCATATCTCGCTAAAAGTTTAGAATCATTGTTACATTATTATGAGTCATACAGTGAGTAATAACAGTTTTAGTACACACACACACACACAAACATACCTTCTCGAACTCTACGTTGACGATCAGCCTGTTGAATTTTAAAAAAAACAAAGAAAAATAATGAGAAAAAATTGTTCTTCAAAATATTGTAAAACAAATAAAACTTCATGATCTTCTATCACTCTTAAAAATCCAAAATTGATCCGGTTACACATTGAATTTAATTTTCCGTTTTACTCATCAGAATGTTATAGTGTACTAGTTTATAAATTATTCTTAAAATGAGACGACTAGTGATATAGGTGAATCTTGGAGTTGTTTTTTTTCAAGGGGTGATCAACGGTATTATCTAAAGAATAATTCACAAGTAAGTATGTGTTTTTCACAGACATTGTTTTTAAATACTGCTTAGGTGTAAAGTGATACGCTATGAATAGTTGTTTTTAAATTTGCTTGTCTCAGGCTGGTAAAAATCAAGAATTTTTTTTAATTAGCCGTATACCGACAAAAAGATATATATATATATATATATATATATATAAAGTCACGAAAGGATTTCTTGAGACAACTTGACCAAAAAAGAAACTAAATTAGCAATGATAGCCATTTCAGTCTACAGCATGAACACTGAACCAGAAATATAACGCATTGAGACGAATTACTAGTATTTTAAGTGAGTTTACTAACCAGAAGTTAGCTCCATTCCACTTTATGGATGTGAAACATGGCCATTACAAATAGAAGACATTTGTAGTTTACTGGTATTCGATCACAGGCATCTACGAAGCATTCCTCGTGTAGTTTGGGACCACAAACTAAGCAATTTCTGGAATACGAACGGGTTACTAGGTATAGATGCCAATGCGATTGATGTGGTAAAGAATCTTCACCAACTGAGGACATCTAGGACATGTGTTACGTGTGCCCAATCACTGTCTGCATTGACAGGCGATATTTTCTGGTGCAAGAGTAGACTGGAACAAATGTCGAGGTGGTCAAACCAAAACACGACATCAGCTATGAAACCACCGACAACTGGATTGAGTTATGTTCATAGGTGTAGACAACCTGGTTGTGTCTGCGTGATTATTGTGATCAGTGACTAGAGACTCTAAATGATATGGCCCAAAATTGTGAGCACTGAAGCAGGTGCATCTATTCTTTGTCTTACTCCAAATCCTAAGATTCCGAATTCCTCATACCCTCTTTTTGTTTTCATTTAGATAATTTATCTTCTCTTCCCAGATCGTATCTTTGATGCATGGTCTTTCCTATTGCTACTCATGTTGTCTCTAGTATTCTGGGATTTAGTGTGACAATCTCATTCCTCTGTACTAATAGGGTATGGCAACTTGAACCGATGTACATACGTACCAGGTTCTACGTTGTAACTGACTAATTTAATCAGATGATATTAACGAATTATACATGCCGCCAACTCGTATGTAATTATCCAGTTAATTAGCATTAGAGGATTACAGAGTAAGTCAAATACGATAACGAATTTTGGATATGTGCATTTCATATATTCATTGCCCTCAGACAGACAACAAGAGAAACGAAACGTAGACGCAGACCGGAGGAGGAAAGTGTGGCAAATATATTTGATCAGGCGTGACTTAATATTTATAGCCAGACAAAAATAAGCTAAAGACATGTAATGAATAGGCTAAGCGATGCACACACATACGCTCATTTAAAATAGTCAAAGTCAATAAGCGAATAATTGATAAGGGTACAATGTGACTCCAAAATAATTAATTATTTGGTCTGTTCGGAAGCTAGAATAACCCCATTTGAGGTTGATCTAGTATGAAAAACTATAGGTTCCATGTTGTGACTAACTGAAGTGAATATTAGTATCGCAGTTATTTAGCACATATCATACGAACTATAGACGCTACTGTCTGGGTGATTAAAACGGAACAAACCGAGATGTAAATTATGTAGACCTTGGATTAACGGCAAGCAGCTAACTTAAACTATTATTTCTCGCATTTGTATCCATTCAACATATATGAGTTGCCGCATAAATCATATAAACCATTAACTTCATTATATTATTGATAAATGGATCAATTTAAACATGAACACACAAAGTAACATCAACTGAAATGTTATATGACAAATTGAGGTAATCAGAAGCTGACTGGATGATAGATGAACGCGATTGGCCAGGAAACGATTTACGTTCTCTTAGGAACGAGATACCACCAGTGGTTTTATTTAAGGTATATATAACTACACATAAACGCCGATACGGTTAGCTAATAAAAGCTTCCTTCTCACTCGTCTAATCAGCTATACTAGTGTATAGGAAGCTTGCGTAATAGTATTAGTATCGGACAGCGCAAGTCGTAACAATATGCAACTGAATTTTACAAGGAAGTTATACCGCAAAAAGGTTGTTTTTTCTCTTTTAAAGGAATATTGGAAACTAGTAATAAAAACCCACGTAAGCGCACAAAGTGGTACTTAAATGGAGTGAATACAGCAATGTTAAAATGATAAGAAAAATTTGCAAGACATGGGAAAAGTGCTTTTCAAGTTACACTTTTTCTTCTGAGCTGAAGGCATACCGATAAATCAATTGCACAGATGGTAGAATTGACTTTTAGCCAATAAATTGCTGGTTCAAAATCCGTTCCACTCACTTCAATTTGAGCAATCGAGTAGTCTATCACTAGCCCTCACAAAATAAGAATGCGGTTTAAAGTAAAATACACGAATCTGTATTATTATTATTATTATTATTATTATTATTATCATTATTATTATTATTATTATTATTATTAAACACATAAATATTGGTACAAGAAGGGAACCAAATATATATGCGCCACAAAAAACAATGGGAATTTAAGGGGAATGAAAAAATATTATAAAAAATAATAACGAAGACATCGATTTAAGGTGGTGTAATAATAATAATGGTAAAAATGGGGGAACGGAAAGGTACAATCAGAAAAAATCTTTCAGTTAAGGAAGAAACAACCACTTTTTTATAAAGAAAGTAAAAGAACGTTACAGCAGGATGGCCACTGGCTTCTATTCTGAATCATATCTGATAACGTCTCTAGCCACTGTGTAGCACCATCTCTCGGACCCCAACCAGGGAGTCGTGAAGGACCGACACAAGCCAGTCCTTTGCAGCTTTCTTTCATACCCCGACACCATATCATATACTGACCACCTCTCCGCTTCTTCCAACCAGTCCCAGAGTCAGCAAATAATGCACGACGTGGAATTCTCGCGGACGACATTCGCAGAACATGTCCAAGCCACCGAAGTCGGTGTTTCAAGATGGTAACACCAATTGAATTATCATCTCTGTGCCCGAACACACGATGCCGAACCTCTGCATTACTGACATGGTGTTGCCACTGAATGTCAGCAATCCTTCGGAGACAGCGATGATCGAACACAGAGAGACGTCTAACGTCCTCAATTCGGAGAGGCCAGGTTTCACAAGCATAGAGCAAAACTGCTCTCACCGACGCGTTGTAGATCCGACCTTTTACAGCCAGGCTAACATCACGAAGGCGCCAAAGATGGCCCACATTGGCATAAGCCGCTCTGGCTTTCACTATACGTGCTCAGACAATCGCTTATTTTCAGCAAACACTAACTTTAGACATAAGGAGAGACATCGTCTAACATGGCGACCCTATGCACCAAACCAACGATGGACTCAAATAGACTATATTGCCATCAGTCTTCGTTGGAGAGGGTCGGTAGAAGATTGTCGCTCATTCTGGAGTACCTGCTTGGACTCCGACCACGCCCTAATACGGGCACGCATCTGCTTGCGCCTCACTAGATGCAAAAAAGCCACAGTAAAAAGACCCATTACAACTGAATTGAGTAGCGAGAAAACCAAAAGAAGGTTCCAGGAACAACTGAGGTCACAATTACGTAGTCCTGAAAACGAGGCTGACCCAGATGTTACTTGGAAAGACATACAAGCAGCTGTGTAAACAGCAATGACATCTATTAGTGATTTAAACCACAGAGTTACAAAGAACTAATGGATTTCCTCAAGGTCTATCACACTGATGAATTCTCGCAAACTCGTCCCATCAGGTTCCGAACATGAGGAAGAGCGACAACAAATCAGATCTAGGTTAACCAAAAGTCTAAGGAACGACCGTGAGCAGTGGTGGGCAATGAAAGCAAAAGAGATGGAAAAGGCGGCGACTATAGGGAACACAAGACAGCTCTACAGACTAATAAAAGAAACTGGAATTAATAAGTCAAGTGTAAGTCAGACTATTTCGGAAAAAGACGACACCCTCATCTGCTCTCAGTCCAGACGTTTAGAACGATGGGCGGGACATTTCAGAGAACAGTTCACCTGCTCTAAAACTACTCACCATTCCCAGACAGTGTGAATGGAACATTGAAGTAGGTCCCCCGACTCTAGCTGAAGTTCATAAGGCTATAGTTAATCTGAAGGAAGGGCAGCTGGTCCAGATAGATTGGCTCGAGAGGTCTTTAAGGATGGTGGTCCAATTTTAGCGATTAGGTTGACTAATATTTTAGCTAAGATCTAGGAGTTAGACGTTATTCCATCTGACTGGTCACAGTCACTGATCGTCCCAATATATAAGAGAGGGTTAAAATCATCCTGTGACAACCATAGAGGGATTAGTTTGACTAATATAGCATCCAAAATACTAGCGTCGATAATTATCGGACGCCTAACTAAGACTTGTGAACTGCAAACACGGGAAAATCAAGCTGGCTTCGGACCTGTTCGTGGCTGCATCGACCACATATTCACCATTCGTCAGGTTCTAGAACACAGGCATACTTATCGGCGTCCGACAATGGTGGTCTTCATTGACTTAAAAGCAGCATTTGACTCTGGAGACCGACAGGTTGTGTGGCAGTGTCCGTCATTAGAAGATGTACCTTAGAAGTACATAAACCTTGTGAAGACGCTGTACTCGAACACTACTAGTCGAGTCAGAGCTTATGGCAAACTGTAATCTGCTTTTGCAACCTCAAGTGTTGTCTGTCAAGGATGTCGACTTTCTCCATTTTTGTCTAACTTCATCATAGACCTACTGATGGAAATAACGCTCTTATTGACCGAATTTTCAGGCATTGATCTCATTCCAGGAGGTCCAATTATCGACTTAGAATACGCAGATGACATAGTCCTGTTTGGTGAAGACGCTGATAAAATGCAGTCTTTTGGTAGCACTGAGCAACAATGCCAGTATGTTTGGAATGCGCTTCTCATCATCCAAATGCAAGTTGTTGCTTCAGGACTGGTCTGCATCAACACCTGAACTAAGGATAGGGAGTGAAGTTGTCGAACGCGTTGACAACTCCACTTACCTAGGAAGTCTGGCCAACCCAAATGGGTTGGTGTCTGACGAAATATCAGCATGGATTCGAAAAGCTCGTTTGGCTTTTGCCAACTTACGTCACCTATGGCGAAGGCGAGATATCCGTCTATCAATAAAAGGGACGTGTATACTACGTGGCAGTTCGTTCTGTTTTAATTTACGGCAACGAAACATGGTCATTAAGAGTAGGAGATACTCGTAAGCTACTAATATTTGACCACAGATGTCTTAGAAATATTGCTTGCATCTGTTGGGATCACCGGGGAAGTAATAGTGAGATTCGACGCATGGTATTAGGGAACGATGGTAAATCAGTTGATGAGGTTGTGAATCTTCATCGACTGAGATGGTTGAGCAACGTGTTACGTATGCCTGAACACCGATTACCACGACGCGCAATGCGGACTAGTGTTGGAGGCGACTGAAAGAAAGTTAGGGGTGGCCAAACCAAAATATAGCATTAGTGCTTGAAGTCACTAACTTCTAGTCTGAGCCATGTTAGTAGATGTAGACTACTTGGTTGGGGTCCGCGTGACTATCGTAACCAATGGTTGGAGACTCTGGGCAACATGGCTCAGAATCGATCACAATGTCGCCGGTGTATACACTCTCTGTCTTCCCTTAAACTATGAGACTAAAATTATTTTATATCTTTCTATGTACGTACTAAATCTTTCTTCCTATACTATATCCTTATATGCAATTTTTCCTTTATATATTACACCATTGAGTTAACTGCTTCTATGAATCTGGTGTCCATCTTGCTGTGCTAATGAGGTATGGCAACTTGGACGGATGTACATATGTGCCTGGTCTTACGTTGTAGCTGACTGACTGATTGACTGATGTTTCAACGTAAGCAACGCTTAGTGATTAAACCATCTGGAGCATAAAGAACACATACAGCATAAAATAGTACAGTACTACATATATAAATTATATATATGCCCAGAATTTCTTAAGTGTATAATAAACATTATTTTAAAAAGTGCCCTCATAATAGTGATGAAGGAAACAATACCAACATAAGAAAGCCTCATCTAACAATTAAAAAACAAGCTGTTGTTATCTTCATTAGATTCAAGAAAGAACAGCACTTCTCAATAATTATTTGTGTTTATGTTTAACCGTATTAATGATTGTAAGTACTCAAGAAATAATTAGCAATATTCGTATTACTGAAGTATGTATGCTTCAAATAGAATGGTAGCGATAGTAATAATAATAATAATAATAATATAATAATAATAATAATAATAATAATAATAATAATAATAATAATAATAATAATAATAATAATAATAATAATTTATGAGACAAAAGGATTAATTAATAACATAAAGCAAAAGAGAAACAACCTTACGACGGTGGCCCAGTGGTCAAAATATTCAGATTTCATAATCATTGACTCTGGCTAGAATCCTTTTATTACATCTGCTTTTGTCTGAGCAATTTGAGTAGTTTCATTAAGTCATATAGTGTGGTTCAAAGCCTAGTATTTAAACTTATACCTCATAAATAAGTTACAATGAAGGAAACAAATTATAAAGACCTAAAATCAGAGATTCGAAATCACTCTACACGAATTCCTTCTGATTTTTAGTAGGGAGACTCAAACAAGAACAATATGATCATCAATTGAGCTTAATTTAAAACCAAAAACATATTTTCGAGTTAATGAAATGCAATTTATGCGAAATCCAGTATTAAAAACAATGAAGTTTACATAGTTGGGTAGTATTACAGTATTAATAAAAAAAAGCGGACAGATAAAACACCTCCAATTAAGTCGCAAATGTGAAAGCTGTTCTATATCCGCGGTAGTAGCCTAGTGGCTAAGGTGTTCAACATTCAACTGCACCCTGGTGGTGACTAAACTGCACTACAATCAAAAGAAAACAAAAAATATGCACCACTAATAAAGTATTACATACCTCTATGCAAGACTTATCTTTCAATTCTGGAATATAAACTTGTTTATCAGCTTGATACTGTTTATCTAATAGTTGAGCTGTATCCTCATCGCTGTCGAAATCTGATGAAATCAATTTCAGAAATAAATTAAAACTTAAGGACAATAGTTATTAGAATAATAACGATAATAATAATGATATGTACTGATTAGAAATGTATGTATGAGGGTGGGGGTAACCAACAGCTAGAAAATCAGTAACATTGGAGAGTAATGTTAGAGAACATGTTTAGTTGAACAATCTTGTGAGATTTTGACTAGTATGAAACTTATATGAAAATAAAACCCGTTTTAATTTATAAAATCTTTGACTTCCCGGTTGTCAAAGCTTGAAAAGCCTTAGAGATCCTAAACAATGTTCCATAGTACTGATAACCAGTAGTCAACAAAAGTAAGGAATGTAGATTTATTTATTCTTCATCTGTTACTGAGATTCGAACACAAATATTTGTAATACTAGTCATTTTGGGGATTTTTAGTTGAACAGTGTAATATGAATAACTTCGTCGCACAGCCTCCTCCCTTATAGCGGAACTACAGAATGAATAACTCTGCGGTTAAGTGGATAATACTACGTAGAGATTGTGAGGCAGTGAGACGTCAACAGCTGTGGTTGATACCTTTACACACGACCAGATACTTTAACTTAACGTGTTATCCTGACTAGTATAGAGACAAATCAAGACAATTGTATTGATCTATCAAGTTAATAATTGTTGATCTGAGGTGTGTCAAGGAGTGTGGACTTCCGGAACTAGGGTCCATTAAATAACTTTAATCTATGGCAGAAGATATTAGGTGTCATAGTTCCATAACTGATTATTGTGATACATGTGTTTATTCTTTTCAAACTACATATTCAATTCTCAAATACCATTGATGTTATTTTTTTCAACTCTTCTGCATTTTCTCTTATTAATTTCCTCTTGTTGTAGTAATATGAAGTGTAGCAACTTGAACCAATACATATTTTCACATCTTAATTTATTTTGAACATGACTAACCAACTACAGGTTTGTGTATTACTCGTTGGGCGACACTTGTGTAAGAGTCGCTTAAAATGAAGTAGAGTTGGACTCAAAGCTTAATGACTACTAGTCAAGCTTTAAAAACATTAAATCATGACTGCATAGTTCCAACCTTACTGAAGGTCACAATAAATAAATTAACCTACCCCCGTCTCGACGATCGGACTGTCGTGAAATGGGTGACTTATAAACTTCATCAGAATTAACATTAGTATGAGCTGCACTCTTCGAATTTAATTTATTTGCTATCGTACCTGGATGACTTGAACTGGTTGATGCTTTATACTGACTTTTTTGTTTTGAATTCTCAAACGATGAAAATGATAATGGTGATGAACATTTTGTATTTTGTCCTTTATCTGAATTATTATGAGATTTAATTTCAGATTTATTAGGAATAGATTTACTAGTATTACTTCTATGGGAAGTTTCATCTTCACTTGAACTATAGACAGTATGTACTTGTGCAGGGAATGTCCAACGGTGCATTTGTCTGTGTGAATATAAATCAGTAGGTGATTCCAGAATATTATTTTTAATATCAGTAGCATTACCTAAAAGGATAATAAATGATTCATTTTATGCTTTGAAAATAAACAGAGAGTGAGAAAAATATACAAAAAGAATAAGAGAAAATACAAAGACGAAAATTGAGAAGTAGAACAATGTGGCAAACTATTTTTTATAAGAACCAGTATTCATCGTCAACGTAAAATCCAACAAGAATGAAGTATCCGTTAAAATAGCCAAATTTCACATCGTCAAAGCAAGACAAAAAGTTTTAAAAATATATGAAGTACAGCAGAGGGATAAATTTAAACAGTAATGGAAATTTAGAGATAAGTACAGTTAAACTGAAATGTAAAAGATCGAAGAAAAAGAAGTAATAAATGATATTGGATATTTAGAGAAACACAAACAATAAATGTAACTGCGGTTAACTTTGTGTTATATCAGCTAAAGTTCCCAACCATTGATTACAATTAATGGGAAGTGAAAAATAAGAAACTTGATCAAAATCAGTGTTAGATCAGATGTTTACATTCGAATATATCCACGAACACAATCTAACAACACTACAATATGCTTATTACCAACTAATTTCCCAACTACGTGGATGAAATATTTTACATTAACTTTTAAAAACTGGAAGAATGTGCTCAAAGTTTATAATGCTACTAAAACCTATGATAACAATGGTCTATCAAGGTGCTAGCTATTCCAGTATCATACGCTTATTTTAATATTTTTACATAATAATGAAATAACTGAGTAGTACCAAATAAATACTGACGTTCAACTTACCATGGTTAAGTATAAATCAATACTGGTGTGGTTTGGTATGGCTATGAATTATCAAAACTTACGCTTGTTAACCCTGATGGAGAAGCTGTTATGTCCCGACAAGAATAATGAATGGTAACTTTTGGGATCTGTTGATGGACCAGTACTAAATGTATATTTCTAGTGTATAATTATTAAGTAACTAAACTATGCATATTCATATTCCTCTTATTATAAGCTTTATTTTGACCCATAAACTATTATTATACGTTTTACCATTCTTGAGTTATACCCAGTATATTAATTACTACCTCCCTCATTCACATCCACAACTGGCTAATTCTTATACAAATGTTGTTTCATATTTTATTGGTATGTTGTGATTGGTTTGATTGGTATATAAACTCAGTAAGTTTGAAATATAATTATTCATATCGCAGAGGCTCTGACTGGTGTTCTGGACTTAACTGGCTGGGTTAGGCGGAAAGCAGAGCCAATCAAGACTCTAGACTGCTCGCATGTGTTTTACGCGTCTTTGATCCGATTAATAAGTCACTGCACATTAATCGGCGGTCACAAGTTATAACAGAAGTATAGGCCGCTCACCATCAAAATATGTCCTGGGTAATCCTTTCTAATTATTTTCAGTTGCTATTCATCCTTTTCATGTCTGCCTTCAATTGCCGACGCAGTGTGTTCTTTGGCCTCCCTCTTTCCCGTTTCCCTTCCGGATTCCAAGTTAGCGCTTGCCTCGTGATGCAGTTCGATGACTTTCGTAATGTATGTCCTACCCACTTCTAACGTCTTTCTCTAATTTCTTCTTCGGTTGGAAGCTGGTTTGTTTTCTCTCACAGTAGGTTCTTGCTGATGGTGTCTTGTCAACGGGCGATGAGTATCTTGAGTAGACAATTGTCTAGAAATACTTGTACCATTTTGATAATTGTTGTGGTAGTTCTCCAGGTTCCAGCTCCGTACAGGAGAACTGTCTTCACGTTTGTACTGAAGATTCTCACTTTGATGTTGATTGAAAGTTGCTTTGAGTCCTACATGCTCTTCAGCTGTAGGAATGCTGCCCTTGATTTGCAAATCATTGCCATGAGATCTGTATCAGATCCTCCAAGTTCATCGATGATGCTGTCCAGGTATGTGAATGCTTCCACCTCTTCCAGAGTTTCTCCACCACGTGTGACTGGGTTGGTGTTCTCTGTGTTATATTTGAGGATCTTGCTTTTTCCCTTGTGTATGCTGAGGCCTACTGATGAAGAGGCTGCTGCTACACCAGTTGTCTTGACGTACATTTATTCGTGTGCATGGGATAGAAGGCCCGGATCATCTGCAAAGTAAAAATAGTCTACTTGCATGCAAGCTGTCTATTGTATTCCGTGCTCCCCTAAGATGTCCAGGTTTTCATAATCCAGTCGACTACCAGAAGAAAGAGGAAGGGAGAGAGTAGACAGCCTTGTCTGACTCTGGTCCTTACTTAGAATGGATCTGTCAGCTGTCCTCCATGCACGAATTTGCACTGTAGTCCGTCGTATGAGTTCCGGATAATGTTGACAATCTTCGCCGGTACACCATAGTGTCGAAGAAAGTTCCATAAGGTCCTCCTATCCACGCTGTCAAATGCTTTCTCATAGTCAAGGAAGTTGGTGTATTCAATTGATTACTAAACAATGATCCTTAGTGTTGCGATTTGGTCTATGCACAACCGATCCTTACGGAATCCATATGCTGATCTTGAAAATGGGCGTCTACTGAATCTTTCATCCTGTTCAGCTACACTCTACTGAAAACTTTCACTGGTACCGATAGTAGTGTGATAAATATGTATTCCTCGCATTTGCTCATATCTCATTTCTTTAGTATCTCGATGAGGTATCCTTTGTCAAAACGTGGTTAGCTATAAATGTCTTAAATTGATTGCTTTCCTTTCTGATATAACGCACAACAATCAGAGAATCTGTCAGAAGAATCACATCCGAAAACTTCATACATAATTCAAATTGCAACTGCAAGTCTAAGTGAGCTGCTAAAACTGCTGCTGTAAGTTCTAAATCCAGTACAATGCACACTTTCATTGTTGCTAACCTTGGCTGGCAAGGACAAACTTCAATACCAGCTGCGTAACATTAGACATATGCAACCGCTCCATATCCAATTTCTGAAGTATCAATGAAGGTATGAAGCCCCATGAATAAATGATCCATATGAGGTGCCGATGTACACTGTGAGAATGTAATACTTTCCACTTTTCGAATGTCATCCACAAAAGCAAGTCAATGAATGCTCCGTTTTGAAATTTTTTAACCCATTCTAAACCTAATTTGCAGAACCGATGAAACAAGTATTTCACAGGTAGTATGAAGTATACTAACAATTCCAAAGTCTTGGAGTGAGGAATAATAATAATCTCAGTAACTTTTGTTTATGAGTTAACTTGACAAATATTTGTCGATGATTATATTATTAATTGTAATTTTAGGTTGTATGCCACTGATGAGAAGCCGTGAAATAAAATGAACCCATTTTTGTCTCAACCTTGTTGTTTTTGCTGCTTACATTTATCAGGGCATTTGGTTGAATGAAATATTTAATCATTTTTTAAACACTATGAAAAATATCAATATAATGGTTTTAAAACTTTAACTCACAAGAAGCTTGGTCAAATGTACCTTCATCCGTATATTCTACAACAGCCTGAACAGTATTTTTCTCTTTATCGCTAAAAGTGTGCAAATAAGTGAAAATGTTATGGTATATTTAGAAGGGAACAAAATAATCAAAACTGGAGTTGAGACTTAAAAATTATGTGATACTACAATCAGAATGTTAGTTACAAGACTGACCTTGATTCCACATACGCAATCTGCGCAGTCTTATAATACACCCAACTCTTCTAAAAGACCTGGCTTAATATATATGAATACATGAGCCTGCACTCTTCAAATTACACAATACAATATTAGAAATAGACGAGTAAAATGAATTCAAAGTCTACTAGAAACAACCACGAGTCATATTACTAAGCACATAAAGTTAATAGATCCTATGAACTGTAGCCAATGTAGAAACTGGCACAAATATCGTGCCAATATGTTACGCTTTGTATTACTACAGGAAGCAGTGATAAAGAAGACGAAACTAAAGGTAGTCGTTTTTAACTCAATAAGGAATTCAGTAAGTCAATTACAACGTAAGACCAGGCACATATGTACATCCGTCCAAGTTGCCATACCTCATTAGCACAGCAAGATGGACACCAGATTCATAGAAGCAGTTAACTCAATGGTGTAATATATAAAGGAAAAATTGCATATAAGGATATAGTATAGGAAGAAAGATTTAGTACGTACATAGAAAGATATAAAATAATTTTAGTCTCATAGTTTAAGGGAAGACAGAGAGTGTATACACCGGCGACATTGTGATCGATTCTGAGCCATGTTGCCCAGAGTCTCCAACCATTGGTTACGATAGTCACGCGGACCCCAACCAAGTAGTCTACATCTACTAACATGGCTCAGACTAGAAGTTAGTGACTTCAAGCACTAATACCATATTTTGGTTTGGCCACCCCTAACTTTCTTCCAGTCGCCTCCAACACTAGTCCGCATTGCGCGTCGTGGTAATCGGTGTTCAGGCATACGTAACACGTTGCTCAACCATCTCAGTCGATGAAGATTCACAACCTCATCAACTGATTTACCATCGTTCCCTAATACCATGCGTTGAACCTCACTATTACTTCCCCGGTGATCCCAACAGATGCAAGCAATATTTCTAAGACATCTGTGGTCAAATATTAGTAGCTTACGAGTATCTCCTACTCTTAATGACCATGTTTCGTTGCCGTAAATTAAAACAGAACGAACTGCCACGTAGTATACACGTCCCTTTTATTGATAGACGGATATCTCGCCTTCGCCATAGGTGACGTAAGTTGGCAAAAGCCAAACGAGCTTTTCGAATCCATGCTGATATTTCGTCAGACACCAACCCATTTGGGTTGGCCAGACTTCCTAGGTAAGTGGAGTTGTCAACGCGTTCGACAACTTCACTCCCTATCCTTAGTTCAGGTGTTGATGCAGACCAGTCCTGAAGCAACAACTTGCATTTGGATGATGAGAAGCGCATTCCAAACATACTGGCATTGTTGCTCAGTGCTACCAAAAGACTGCATTTTATCAGCGTCTTCACCAAACAGGACTATGTCATCTGCGTATTCTAAGTCGATAATTGGACCTCCTGGAATGAGATCAATGCCTGAAAATTCGGTCAATAAGAGCGTTATTTCCATCAGTAGGTCTATGATGAAGTTAGACAAAAATGGAGAAAGTCGACATCCTTGACAGACAACACTTGAGGTTGCAAAAGCAGATTACAGTTTGCCATAAGCTCTGACTCGACTAGTAGTGTTCGAGTACAGCGTCTTCACAAGGTTTATGTACTTCTAAGGTACATCTTCTAATGACGGACACTGCCACACAACCTGTCGGTCTCCAGAGTCAAATGCTGCTTTTAAGTCAATGAAGACCACCATTGTCGGACGCCGATAAGTATGCCTGTGTTCTAGAACCTGACGAATGGTGAATATGTGGTCGATGCAGCCACGAACAGGTCCGAAGCCAGCTTGATTTTCCCGTGTTTGCAGTTCACAAGTCTTAGTTAGGCGTCCGATAATTATCGACGCTAGTATTTTGGATGCTATATTAGTCAAACTAATCCCTCTATGGTTGTCACAGGATGATTTTAACCCTCTCTTATATATTGGGACGATCAGTGACTGTGACCAGTCAGATGGAATAACGTCTAACTCCTAGATCTTAGCTAAAATATTAGTCAACCTAATCGCTAAAATTGGACCACCATCCTTAAAGACCTCTCGAGCCAATCTATCTGGACCAGCTGCCCTTCCTTCAGATTAACTATAGCCTTATGAACTTCAGCTAGAGTCGGGGGACCTACTTCAATGTTCCATTCACACTGTCTGGGAATGGTGAGTAGTTTTAGAGCAGGTGAACTGTTCTCTGAAATGTCCCGCCCATCGTTCTAAACGTCTGGACTGAGAGCAGATGAGGGTGTCGTCTTTTTCCGAAATAGTCTGACTTACACTTGACTTATTAATTCCAGTTTCTTTTATTAGTCTGTAGAGCTGTCTTGTGTTCCCTATAGTCGCCGCCTTTTCCATCTCTTTTGCTTTCATTGCCCACCACTGCTCACGGTCGTTCCTTAGACTTTTGGTTAACCTAGATCTGATTTGTTGTCGCTCTTCCTCATGTTCGGAACCTGATGGGACGAGTTTGCGAGAATTCATCAGTGTGATAGACCTTGAGGAAATCCATTAGTTCTTTGTAACTCTGTGGTTTAAATCACTAATAGATGTCATTGCTGTTTACACAGCTGCTTGTATGTCTTTCCAAGTAACATCTGGGTCAGCCTCGTTTTCAGGACTACGTAATTGTGACCTCAGTTGTTCCTGGAACCTTCTTTTGGTTTTCTCGCTACTCAATTCAGTTGTAATGGGTCTTTTTACTGTGGCTTTTTTGCATCTAGTGAGGCGCAAGCAGATGCGTGCCCGTATTAGGGCGTGGTCGGAGTCCAAGCAGGTACTCCAGAATGAGCGACAATCTTCTACCGACCCTCTCCAACGAAGACTGATGGCAATATAGTCTATTTGAGTCCATCGTTGGTTTGGTGCATAGGGTCGCCATGTTAGACGATGTCTCTCCTTATGTCTAAAGTTAGTGTTTGCTGAAAATAAGCGATTGTCTGAGCACAGTTGCAGCAGACGATCACCGGAATACCAAAATACCCACCTAAATGTCTTTCTGTTTGGTTCAAGCTACCTACTTGGGCATTAAAGTCACCTGCTACATGTACTAAGTCTGAGCGCTTAGCTTTCTGTAAAATTCATCTTCAACTTCATCCGAGTTGCAGTCAGTGGGAGCGTAGGCAGAAACGACGAAAAGGCAACGACGTGTGTCCCTAGCCTTTCGAGTTCTTACAGAGCCGTTAAGCCAAACAGCATATAGACGACTGTTAACAGGGATCCATTCTAATGGTGATTGTTCCGCCCTCATGCTTAGTGCTATGCCTACACCTGCCAGTCCACGAGAACTGGCCATCGGGTCACCAGATAAACGGAAGGTGTATCTCGTTGGCTCTCCGTTTTGACGAGGTGAGGTCAAGTGAATGACCACACTGGAATCCTGTATGTGTGTATCGGAGACACAGCATGCATCAATGGAAAGAGACTCTAGGGTTTTAGCCAAGGAAGCCTGCTGACCGATATGACATAGGGTTCGTACGTTGAAGGCTCCAATGTGTAGTGTGGAGCGAGGTTTCAGTAGACCTGGGACAGTGTTTTGAGCACTAGAGTCTTTGGCCATGTTTACACTTGAGGAAGCCAAAAAAGGAAGTTTAGTGTTGAAAGTCGACGTAGGATGAATAATAGGGACCGAAGAAACAGGTTGATTATGAATACAGTGATCTTGAGTGCTGTTAGAGGTATGAGGGCGGTTATCACTTCCCAGTTGCCCACACCGTGGAAGGGTTCAGTAAGGAATTAGCCAAATAGGAAGGAATAAATAATATTAAGATTGAAAAGTTAGTGGTAGAGTGAGTGTATCTGTGAATACGATCGATTTTGGGTTATGTCAACAAACTTTTATGATTGTTAGTGATACTTCCGAAATGTCCAAACTAAGGTAGGTGAGGAGAAATCCGAACCTTTAACTTTAAAGTTGAAACCTGTAGACGTACACTGAAGATACCTGGATAATGTGTGCGTTATTCAAACCAACTAACTGGCTATACTAAAATATGATGTTGGCTGCAGTAGGAATGTTTGAAAAAAAGCTGAGGATGATCAGGGTCCCATAATCACTGAAGTGAGGTCAAAAAATGTATTTTCAAGTCACCAATTAATGCCTATTTAACAGAGTTACTACTCAGTGACGTGCGAATATCCAGAGCTTAAACTTGGTTGGTGGGTGCGGAGAATCCAACTAGGGGACTTAGGAAACCCTGTGATGTATATGGACTCCAGGATCTTAAGGGAACAGATCACGCATGAGCATATTATCGGATGTCAGCTACCATGAGACTACACCTCCCAGAGTTGCTCCAGTGCGTTGTGGACTAGACCACAAAGTCAAGGGCTTGGAGAATGGCCCCCTAAAATCACCACCTCTTCTTTGGCCTGGATACCCGAATTTCATGATAACTGCCTTGTGTGGTGAACATATATTTTCGTGCCCCTTTGTACTAAAATTTATGTTTACATAAATAAAAATGATTTGAAACAACAACTAGTTATGGTTCTACATTAAGCACCACTTGTTTAGAGTTGAATGGATAGCAGGATTCTTCAACTTCTTGTTATTTGTACAACTTGTAGTTCATACCACATAAAATGAATTGATGTCGTAACACGCTGTCATGAGTTCTCTCATTACGACCCAGCTACTCCTATTATTTAGTATTCTTTGGACACTTCACTCGACAAGTTCCGCAATCAGGACACCGTTAAACAGGAACGTAATTATATTCCAAATAAACAGGATTGAATGTAAGCATGAATCGTAATAAGAAAAATGTTAGTATATTCATGATTTTAACTTGAGATTCTAGAGTCTTCTCTAAGTAGCTGCCAGCGCTGATGGGTTTAGAAATAGCCAATCGGAGTGCCCCAACAAAGTCCCGAACGGAGCATGCGCTAAT